AAGACAGCCCCCAGTGACATACTGTTTTAAGCAAAGCCACACCTCCTAATCCTTCCCAAACATTTCCACCAACTGGGCACTAAGCATTCAAATATATGAGCCCATAGAGGCTCTCCTCGTTCAAACCACCTCAGGCCTCATGGATGACAGCACCGGTCAAAGCCAGTAGCAACAAGAAGGGATTCTAGAAAGGAAACGGCTCCTTCTTGAGTCTGAGGAGTGACCCTTGGATTCTCCTGGGAGGATGCTTTAAGCCTAGGTCAGCAGAGTCCCAGGATGCCACGGCCTGAGCATCAGGGATGGGGGGCTCTGCTTCTGTGATGAGCCCGCAACAGTGGCCAACCACAGATGCCCTGTGCAACTGGAGGGTGGAGGACATTTTGAAGGGTTAACATTAGCTTTTTATTTCATTTTGATTTTTGGTGTCTTAAGGTTAAACCCAGGCCTTATCCATGTTAAAGCAATCCATCTCCCAGGCCTAGTTCAGATTTTAAAGGTGTATCTGTGTGTGCTGGCTAGTTTTATGTCAACTTGACACAAACTAAAGTCATCTGAGAGGAGGGAGCCTCAATTCAGAAAATGCTTTCATAAGATGGGGCTGTAGGCAAACCTGTAGGGCATTTTCTCAATTAGCAAGTGATGGTGTCATCCTTGGGCTGGTGGTCCTGGGTTCCATAAGAAAGCAGGTTGAGCAAGCCATGATGAGTAAACCAGTAAGCAGCTCCCTCCATGGCCTCTGCATCAGCTCCTGCCTCCAGGTTCCTGTCCTGTTTGAGTTCCTGTCCTGACTTCCTTCAATAATGGTGTGGAAGTGTAAGCCAAATAAATCCTTTCTTCCAACTTGCTTTTTGGTCATGATATTTCAGCGCAGTATTAGAAACTAGGATAATGTGTATGGGGAAAAAAAGGTTGGTGGTTCTTAAAAAATGTCAAACATGGAACTTTCACTTATATATCTATACCAAGAGTTAGAAACAAGGCCTCATGAAGACTTGTTCATAAATGTCCATAGCAGATTATTCGGTAGCCACAAATTGAAAAATGGCATGCATGTACATCAAAGGATGAAGTATAGCATACTCATAAAATGGATATTGTTCAGCCACAAAATGAAATGAAAAACTAGAAGACAGACAGAAGAAAGTTTGAAAGCCTTATATGGCCTGTAAGGCACATAACAAGGACCACACATTACATACTTCTGTTTAGAAGCAAAGTCCAGAATAAGCAAAGCCCTCAGACAGGAAGATTAGTGATTGCCAAGGGCAAAGGAGTTGGGGAAGAAAGAGAGGCTACTGGTAATGGGTAGCCCTTTCTTTGGGGGCAATACATCGTAAAATGTGCTGCTCTGGTGCTACATATTGTATGGGAACTGTATGAACACATTAAAAACCACTGAACTGGGGGCTGGGCATGTAGCTCAGTTGGTAGAGTGTGTGTCCAGCGTGTACAGAGTCCTGGGTTCACTCTCCAGCATCACATAAACAGGCGAGGGGAGAGGTGTGTGTGTATGTAATCCCAGCATATGGAAGTGGAGGCAGGAGCATCTGAAGTTTAAGATAATCTTTGGCTCCATAGCAAGTCTGAAGCCAGCTTGGGCTCGTGACCCTTCTCGCAAAAACAAACGGACCCTAAAAGTCACGCGAATCGCATACTCTTCATCAGGCACCCTCTATGGCCTATCAGCTTTATCTTAAAACAGATGACAACCCCATGCTGTTTTCTCCCTAACACCTTGCTGAGTCTTGTCACTTTTCCGACGCGTGGGTTCCAGATCCTGACCACAGAGCCAGGGGCCACTCACTCACTGGCCTGAGGGGGAAGTGGGTTTGGAATAGGCAGAGGAGGACAGAATGGGGAAATCTACACCTTCCCTTGACATCCAAGAGATGTGCACTCTGAAAATATAATGATCACGTTCACAAAAGGTTTCAACAAGTTTCTGGCTGACAGAGACAGTCCTCACCTTTGAGGTGGATGTCATGAGCTTGTCAACTTAGACAAATGATATCTTGTGCAACCAGAGATCAGAAGGAACGGCGAGACAGGATTCCAGTCTTTAACAAATGCATTCATCACCAACTCCAGTGTCTCTCACACAACCCCACTTGCACTCAGTTTTGTTTGGACAGTTTCCTGAAGAGATCCAGGTGTTCTCCTCCACAGAAGGGGCACGGAAGCTTAGGAACCTGGGAAGAGAGGTCCTGTCTCACCATCTCCCTTACCTGCTCCTCCAGCCCCTCTTTCTACCCTATACTTCAGATCTTCAACTTTTTGTAGTTCTAGAACCTTCTATACTACTCATGGAAAGAGTTTTCCTGCTTCTCTGTCCCATGACCGCTTGTTTATCTTCCAGAAGAAACTCTCCTAGCCTAGTCTTTCCCCAGAGACATTTGTTCTCCGTCACCTTCTCCAGGCTGAGGAATAGCATGTGACTGTCCCTTGGGGAGTGAACCAGCACAGGCCACTTGGACTTTGAGCTCCCAGTGGGGGAACCAGAGTTTCCTTACTGGGTTCATAGGAGCACTCAAGTGACCATGGGAAGGAAGGAAGGAAGGAAAGAGAAACAGAAGGAAAAGAGCTTTTAAAAAAAATGTGCTATTTCTCTGTGATGTGTGTGTGTGTTGTACATGTATGTGTGTATGTATATGTGGTGTGTGTGTGATATGTGTGTGTGTTGTGTGTGTATGTGTGGATGGTGTGTGTGTGTGTTTGTATGTGTGTTGTGTGTGAATATGAGTGTATATATATGTGTGTGATGTGTGTGTGAATGTATATGTGTGTAGGGTCTCTGTGTGTGTGTGTGTGTGTGTGAACATGAGTCGGGGGTGCAGGGGTTGATGTTGGGTGTTTTCCTTTATTGTCCCCCACATTATTTTTTGAGGCTGGGGTCTCTCTCTGAACCCGAAGCTCATTGATTCTGCTAGCCTGGCTGGACGCAAGCTCCTAGGATTCACCTGTCATCCTCCAGCCCTGCTAGGGTCACAGTGAAGTATTGACAGCCTGGTTTTCTTTTTTCTTTCTTTCTTTCTTTTCTCCCTCCCCCCCCCCCCCGAGACAGGGCTTCTCTGTGTAGCTTTGCACCTTTCCTGGAGCTCACTTGGTAGCCCAGGCTGGCCTCGAACTCACAGAGATCCGCCTGGCTCTGCCTCCCAAGTGCTGGGATTAAAGGCGTGCGCCACCACCGCCCGGCTGACAGCCGGGTTTTCATGTGCGTACTGGGGAGCCAACCCCAAGTCTTCCCACTTGTGCGGTTGTGTGGTAAGCACTTTCCCACTGAACCATCTCCCCACCCCCCAGCCCCTTGGGTACCATTTGTAGCAGGAAATCTTAGATGGTCTTATTAATAAAATCAAACCTGAGCCAGGTATTGGGGTGAACTGGGAGATCAGAGAACCAGAACAAGCCACAGCTACCTCCCCTCGCCGGATCCTCAGCTGGTCTTGTCTCCTCAGACTGGAGGCCTCTGAGTCCTCATCCAGAATGGATCTCAGCTGAACTATGTTGCTCAAAAGCCTGAAAGCTTAACCAGGCCAAATGTTTCTAGTTTCTGGTCCTCACGTCTTGTATATCTTTCTGCATTCTACCATCACTCCCTGGGATTAAAGGCGTGAGTCACCATGCTTAGCTGTATCCTTGAACACCTGGATTTCTGCCTAGCTCTGCCTCCCTCCCAAGTGCTGGGATTAAAGGCGTGTGATACCACTGCCTATCCTCTATGTTTAATATTGTGGCTGTTCTGTCTCTGACCCCAGATAAGTTTATTAGGGTACACAATATTTCGGGGAACATCATACCACCACAGCCATTTCTTACTTTTATACAATAACATTTAAAAAGAAATAAGAGGAATGGGTTACACGAGGCATCATTTCTGTGCTTCTGTTGTTGTTAGTGTGTAGGTTCGCTTGTTCCTAAGCCAGACAAGAAAAAGCTCAGGCACATTTTACATGCTAAATAGATTCAAAGAGATCAGAAGACATTGAAAAATGTAGCTGTAGACTAGACATGGTGGTCCTAGGGTCCTAGTTACTGAGAAGTCTGAGGTCAGACTAGGCAACACAGCAAGATTCTGATACATTTGCTATGGTAAAATACAATAACCAATCTTTACCATTTTTAGCACTTTCAGGTCATTGCTTTAAAATACACTGACAATATGTCTTTCAATGACTATCTCGTATAGGCAATATTCATTTCTTTCCTATAGAAAAGTCATTTTTCTCCACCTAGAATGAGTCCAGTTCTAACTGTTTCCAGAAAATGGGGTTTGACTGATCTACAGTCCAAGTCTGGATCTCTCTTTCTCTTTGCTCAGATGGAAAACACACACTCAAAGCCATTCCCTTCAGAGCAGGAAGGGCTACCACTACATTTCTCTTTGGTCCAAAACTATCCTGCTCAAGACTTACTGTGCCAATGAACAAAGTCTGTGGACCTCAAGTGGTGCGTCACATGGGTGCTGGAGATGTGGAGATACGGCAGGTGGGACTGGCCCTCTGTATTTGTGAGCGTTCACTAAACCTCTATAATCATTAACCAGTTACCCTGGTGGGGCAAGTCCCACAGGTGTAGATGAAAACTATTTGAACAAGGGAGGATGGAAATTGACCTTCTGACTAGGTTACTCTCTACTCTTCTCAGAACCGGTCAATACGACACAGAAGCAAAACCTCTGCATGGCGTCCCGTTCCATCTCTGTCACGAGGCAGCTGTGTGACCTTGGCTGCTAGGTCACCTGTTTCCCTGGCAGTTTTATGGCTGGCGTCAATCAGGGGCTCAAATAGGTATCAGATGTGCTACCACTGCGGCTCTCCCATCATCTCAGCAGACATTGCTAATCAATCCTAGTTCTTTCCCTAAGCCTATCTAGAGCCGTATGGTTGTAAGTACCCACATCTGAGCTGATGATCTTACGAACCTCTACCATTTCCTATGCCTAGATTATAAGGCTTTACTATTTCTTCCAGGGCTAACACAACAATTTCAAGTATTGTAGCCATTTATTTTGTTGTGGGAAACCACCATCAATAGACCTCATAAAACTGTGCTCTTCCATTCCAGGGATCCCAAAGAAGTCCTCTCTTTAAAACACTCCTACAAGACAGGAAAGTAAGTATTATATTCCAATACTCCAGAGGATGAATCTGCCTGAAACAAAAGGTTTTGCCTAGCTGCTCTAAGCGCCAATCAAGACTAACAGCTGTGGCCACTGCTGTGACCACTTCCTGGTTCTTTCCTCAGGAGGAAGAGGCAAGGCTTTATATGTCAAAGGGAATTAATATGGTGTGAACTTGGGATGAAAACTAATAGGATCCCTGCATACTCCCATGAGAATATAAAATGGTGCCATGGCTTGAAAAACAGACTGGCAGCTCCTCCTCAAAATGTTAGACATAGGTATTTTTATATGACCATTCTTAGGTATTTTCTACCAAAGAGAAATGAAGGCATACATCCGCCAAAGCACTTGTACAGTGTTCCTAAGAGTCTTATTCATATTAGCCCTGAAGCAGAAGGAACCTGGAAATTCAACAGTTGATCAACAGATAAAGATTGTAGCCAGGTGTGATGGCATATGCCTGTAATCTTAGCACTGGGAGGCTAAGGCAGGGTGATGGTCAACTCCAGACCAGCAGGTGCTACATAGCAGGACCCTGTCTCACAAATCAAATAAAAAGAGGTGCATCCACACGATAGAATAATATTCAGCCACAGAAAGGGATAAAATATTGTACCTTCTACAACATGGATCACCCTTGAAAATGCACTAAATCCAGACACAAAAGACCACACATTGTGATAGTTCACAACTATAAAACGTCCAGGCAAATCTGTGAAGACAGAAAGTTGAATCGTGGTTAGATCAGACTGAAAGGGATAGAAGAGGGGTGGTTGATAGAAATATTCTGAAATATGTGAGGTAAACCAGAGCAACTCTGTGTGTGTGTGTGTGTGTGTGTGTGTGTGTGGTGTGTGTGTGTATGGTGTGTGGTGTGTGTATGGTGTGTGTGTGTGTGTGTGGTGTGTGGTGTGTGTGTGCATGTGCGTGTGTGTGTATGGTGTGTGTGTGTAGTGTGGTGTGTGTGTGTGTGGTG